AGAAAATGGCCACGGGCCACGTGTCAGGGGCGGAAAAATGGCTGCGGACCACGTGTCATGGGAGGGAAAATGGCCGCGGATCCCGTTCGTAACTCGAGGTACCACTGTACAATAAAATGAACAAAAAAGCAAAATGAAAACACCATAAAAACTAGGCAGCAGCAAGGTGGCCATTCAAAACCAAAAAGAATATTACAGTAATTAAAATACAGTTAAAATATAAGTCAAATTAAACATTAAGAAGCCTGGGAAAATAGAAAGGTCTTCCCCTGGTGCCAAAATGATGCTAAGGTAGGAGCCAGCCTGGTCTCTCTGGGGAGGGCATTCCATAAATGGGGTGGCACCACAGAAAAAGGTCTCCCCCTTGTAGAGGCCCACCTCGCATCCTTCTGATGGGGTAACCTGGAGGAGGCCCACCAGAGAAGATCTCATGGTCCAGGTAGGTACCTACAGGAGAAGGTACTCCTTCAAGTAACCTGGTCCTAAGCCATTTAGGACTTCCAAGTCAAAATCAGCACTTGGAACTGGGTCCAGAAAGCACTTGGAATTGGGTAGATGGTGGAGTACTGGCATAATAGGTTTGTGCTGGCCAGTGCCAGGGAGCGTAGTGCCTCTATTCTGAACCAACTGAAGTCTTGAACCATTTTCAAAGGCCGCCTCATATATAACACATTGTAATAATCTAGTGTTTCTCAACCTAGGGAACTTTAAGAGGTGTAGACTTCAACTCCTAGAATTCTGGGAATTGAAGTCCATGCCTCTTAAAGTTCCCAAGGTTGGGAAACACTGCAATCATCCAACCGGGAAGTTATCGGAGGGGGATAACTGTGTCAAGACAGTGGGGTTCAACCAGATATCCAACCCTGTGATAAAATAACAGTTTATCTCTGGTGGCAACCTTTCCCTGCCTAACTGGGAGTGGGGGCTCCTGACCTGCTCCTCAACAAAGAACCACAGGAGTTTCTTGATCACAGGAGAAAAGCGCCCATTTTGGACCCATGCTGTTGGTGTGGGAAGCAGGGTCCAGTTAATGGGGCAATGATTTTAATCAAGGAAGCACCAGCATCTTTCAATGTTTTGAACCTTCTTATGATCTACCTGCTGCTCCTGACATGCAAATGGATTTCAGGCTCAACAAGATTGCATTGCCCAACTTGCTAATCTTGGCTAACAGAACCCTGGTTTATTAAAGCAAACCAACTGCCTACATACACTGCCTACATGCACACAGGGCACCAAACCCTCATTCATTCATTCATTCATTCATTCATTCATTCATTCATTCATTCATAGAATTTATATGGCCACCTATCTCCTATAACAGTGTTTTTTCAAACTTGGCAACTTTAAGATGTGTAGACTTCAACTCCCAGAATTCTGCTGGCTGGGGAATTCTGGGAGTTGAAGTCCACAGATCTTAAAGTTGCCAAGTTCGAAGAACACTGTCCTAAAATGATTCTAGGAGGCTCACAACAATTGATAAAAACAGAAGTAAAAACAAAGCCACTCTTCCCACCAGGAGCCAGACCAAACAGCCTCCAGTTCAAAACCCATCCTAGCCCAATGCTTGGGTGAAGAGCCAGTTGATCACAGTCTTCTGGAAGACTAAAAGGGGGGGGGGGCTCAAATCTCAGGTGGGAGGCTATTCCAAAGGGCTCCAGAAAAGGGATACTTCCAAGGTCACATCAGATGACAGCATTTAAGGGAAGGGACCTGGACTGTGCCCACCCTATCTGACCTAGTGGGATGGGCCAACACCATCATGGAGAGGCGGTCCCACAAATAACCTGGCCCTGTGCCATTCAGGGCTTTAAAGGGGATAACTAGCACCTTGAATTGCACCCAGAAAGCAATAGGAACCAGCAGTGGGGTACTTTAACTCGAATGAACCGCAGGGCACCCAAAACTCTGCATCCGGCTGCATTTCTGAGTCAGTTGCAGCTTTCGAATGGCCTTCGAGGGCCAGCCCCATGTACAGTGTGTTGCAGTAATCCAGCCAGGAAGTGATGAAGCCATGAACGATGGTGAGGAAGACCTCCCGGTCCAGGGACAGGTGCAATTGGTGCACAAGATGAATTTGTGTAAATCACCCCCTGGCCATGGCTGCCACCCGTTCTTCCAGCAGGAGCCAAGAGTCCAAGGAGACCCCCCAAAATGTGCACCAGATCCGTCCATGTTACCCCATCCAGAGTCAGAGATGTCAACCCTCCTGACCTTGCGGGGGGGAGGGGGGCAAAGACCCACAACCACTCCATCTTGCTAGGGTTGAGACCCAGAACACATTTCAGTTCAGCGTGTTTGGGAACCCAGCCGGGGCCAAAAAAGGAAAGGTCTGGATGTTGTGCAGAAATCCCAGGTGCACCAATGCTCGGCTCTGGGGTGCAACATTTAGCCTCCCACACGCATTCCTCCACCCCCTCCCCTGATTTCCCCACTCCGGTTTTTCCTCCATTCATTTGGGCCATAACTCTGCTCCCGTCTTCCTAAATGGCCAGGAGGATTGAGAGGGGCTTACCAGATCACTGGCTGGAATCTCTGGAGGAGGATTTAGGGAGGATGGCACCCACTATCCTTGGCAGCCAGGAGGGATGGTGAAAGGAACTTAGCTCGCCTCCCTTCCTCCTGTTTCCTTCCTCTCTAGGATATTCCTTCAGTTTCTTTAACTCTTAGAAGGCCAAGCACCAGAAAAACCCAAACCCCTCTGGATCTCTGCGATTAGCCAAGGCAATTGGTGGTTTCTGAGTTTCAGCAGTGATCTATTTTGTCCTCTTTGAACTTGGGGGGGGAAGAGATTTGCTGGATTGTGTCGGTTTTTGCCACGTATCAGAGGTTAGTCTTGCCAATGCAAACTGGTCACCCAGTAGAGTGACATTTTAGGGCAGTGTTTCTCAACCTCGGCTGGCTGAGTGTGGACTCCAACTCCCATGCTGGCTGGGGGATCCTGGGAGTTGGTCCACCCATCTTAAAGCGGCTGAGGTTGAAAAACACCGGTTTAGGGCATCAGAACAATCCTGTGCAATTCTGCCTAAGTCGGTTTTAACCAAGTGCCTGTCTGATCTTATCTGGGCTTGGGAAATTAATAGTGTTGGACTTGACTAGGAACTGGAAGGGAGACCACCAGGAAATCTGTATGATAAATTGGGAAGTGGGAAAAAAATCACCCCAGAAGGAGCAATGGCAGCCTACTTCTCTGTGCTACCGAGCAAACCTGCGTGTCGAGAAGGAATTGAGCTGGACTCAAAACAGTGTGCATCAGCGAGGCTGTCAGAGGACTCTGCGTGTGCAGAAACGCCCAAGGTTTAGAGTTACAACAGCCTAGATTCCAGAAACCAAAAAAGGATTGAAGTGAAAAAAACAAGATGTCTACAATTCTTCCAGATTAAACCCAAAACTGACCTTTTTCCTAAATTTTCCTTTCCTTAAACAGCAAAACAATTAGGCCAAAAAGAGAGTTCTCTTCCTAACTCAACTGTTCTTGTGGAAATGTAGCATGAACAGTAAACAGACCATGATGATCCACTCACAGAGTTCAAACTAGAGTCTTACCCGTGGTTAATTGAAACAGTTGTGGAAATACCCTGATTGTTTGGCTTCACCCAGCACAGCCCCAAACTAGCCATCTGGAGGGTGTTGCATGACATCCTTGGCTAAAATGAGGCTGATTGATTTATGGGCCACTGCCTCTGTAGCTTTTAGGGCAGGGAGATCAGCTGAAATCTAACACTGGGTTTCTGGGTGCTTTGTAAGAGAGCATCTTTCTGACTCCCAATTGCTCACCCCAGAGACAAAAAAGTAATTCCACTTTTATAATATTTAGGTGCCAAGTCTATAGCCCTCTAGTATGCTTTGAAACTGTTTCCACACAATATTAGGGTTTAGATCCCCATTTCTTTTAACAAAAACTCCATTTTTCTAAAAAAATATTATACATGCACAATTAACAAAACAATCTTTAAACTTAAAAAACAACTTTGGTTTAGATACCCCATCGTGCCTTTGGCTTCTTAATTCTGGGGTCAAGAAAAAAATGAAATAATACAGTCTCACATTAGGATTGCAAAATCCTAGATTACACAATGCCTTTGATGAAATCCTAGGTTGCATGATGAATCCTCTTAAGAAGGATAATCCTTATGGCTTAGAAGTTCAAGGTAGTTTTCGTAGTCCCAGAAACTTTCCGAGTGACTGGATTTTTTTCTAGTTCTTCCAAGTGGTTACGCTCAGATGATGTGCATTTGGTTATTCTGCCCCATTTGATCGCTCATGGACTTACTCCCTCCCCCAGTTTCTGCACTGATTGCCATTTTAGTTCTGCTCATCAACTTGCAGACCAACTAATTAGAACCTGCTATGCAGACACATTCATTAGTCTGCATCTGACTTTGCAATGAAGAGGTCATTGTCTTCTGAGTCTAAGGCTATAATCCCCTATCTCAGTCCTCCCCAAGGAGGCCAGATCTGTTGAACTGTCCTATTTCTCATTTTCAAAGCCCTATTTCCTTATTTAAGATATATAGAAAGATTTACATTGTTTGGGAGGTGTAAAGTATATAGAAAGTAAGTACAGAGTAAGGTATAGAGCAGTGTTTCTCAACCTTGGCAACTTGAAGATGTCTGGACTTCAACTCCCAGAATTCCCCAGCCAGCAGTGCTGGCTAGGGAATTCTGGGAGTTGAAGTCCACTCATCTTAAAGAGTAAAGTAAGGTATAGAAAGTTTTACATTTTGTGGGGGAGGAGAATTCTATAGAAAATAAAGCAGTGGGAAATTTCCCACCCCAGATGTCTTAAGGGCACTAAACAGGGGAAGGCTGAGCCACATATTTCCCTAGAAATGAGCTCAGCTCAATTTCTGACTAGATATAGACAGGACTATATTGTAAACCAAAGTAAACTATGTCCTCTATCTTCCGATTCAAAATAGATGAAAAATATAACAGATCCTAGATCAGACTCGAAAGTCACCTATGTTTCCCATTGTAACATGAATTCATTAAATTATCTCATAATAAAAATATTGTATTTCAGATAGGCAGCTCAGGGTTTCCATGCTGTAACAACAATAGGACAGGCACACCACTAGGATTTCCAAAATTATCAGAGTTGTTTTGTCTGATCTGGAAGCCAATCCTGAGATATCAAGCAAAATATCAGATTCCTATGAAGCAGTGTTTCTCAACCTTGGCAACTTTAAGTCCACACAGCTTAAACTTGCCAAGGTTGAGAGACACTGCTATAAAGTACAAAACACCACAATAAACAGAACTAATAAGAGGAAGATTCTAATCAAATTACCTGGTTGGGATTACTTTAACTTAAACCACAGATAGTCTGCTCCATCTTGCTGAATGCATTGAGACCATATTCTTAGTCTCATAAGTCAGTGAATGAATGGTTTTACCTACTCACTCAACCTCTTTACTCCTCTTTTAACAGAGCAAATAAACCAGGAAACCTTTAATGAGCCATTATTTTCCATTCTTTCTAAATGCTCAAGTGGTTTGAAGCTGGTTTGGTCCAACATGGAGAACCATAGCTTCCAGGTTCAGATGGAGCAGGAAACCATGATGAATTTGATTGATCTGAAGAGAGGCACAAGGGGGCTATAAACACAGGGCAAGGATCTGGCCATAATTCAGCTGGCTAAACCAGTTTGACATTGCTGTTTGATGAAAAAGGCACTGAAAATTGAGAAGAATCTGGTTAACAATGATCTCTTCTTTCATCTGAGGTTTAAGGAGAAAAGTGAAAAGCAATCTGCATCAATTCTCAAACTGAGACAAGAGAAACAACATGGGATGATTATTTGATCTCAGAGAGAAATAAACTTCATGGTGAATTTTGAACATCAACAGGTGCCACAAAATTAGTTAAGAAAGATTCTATTCCAAGTTACAGAGAAAACATAAGAGTGGCTATTCCAATCAAAGTTCTCCTGGACTATTTGGGAAAACAATGACCTCCGTGGATCTTAAAGGTAAAGAGAAGTGGAGAAGAGCCGAAGGTATTTGGAAGCAAATGAACTCTGGTGAATTCTGATCCATAATACCCACATAATCAAAAGTTAAAGGAAGCACCTTTACAAAAGAGTATGTCAATGCCAGGTTAAAATACAGGTAGACCTCAGTTTACAATGGCAATTGGGACCAGAATCGCCATTGCTAAGCAACTTGGTCATAGAGTGCATTATCACATGACCACACCACATAGCAACAATTCTAGCACTCCCAGTTCCCATCATTAAACGAGGATGTCACATGGTCGCCATTTGCAACCTCCTGCTGGCCTCCCCATTGACTTTGCTTGTTGGAAGTTGGCAAAGGAGGTTGCAAATGGTGACTACATAACCACAGGAGACTGTGATGTCAAAATCACAAGCAAGGCGCCGAGAGCCCGGATCACAATCATGTGACTGCGGGGTCACTGCAATGGCCAGAACTCCGAGGACCGGTCACAAGTACCACTTGTTCAGCATTGTCACAAGTTTGAACGGTTACTGAATGAGTGGTTGTTAATCAATGACCATCTGTATTGACTTTGGTTTTCTCACACCATTTCAAACTCCCTCTCATTTTTAGAGGAGCTTCTCAGGACCAGGGTATCCATAAATCCTCCCTTCTGCTCCATTTTATCTGATCTATTATAAATGTGAGAATAAACGTTGTCCTTTCTATGTATTTTCTCCTCAATGGCTTCTGCACAAGGAAGACTGATGGGTGATAAAGAAAGCATGTATAAGGGGCTTGGACAGACACCTCCCTAAGTCACATGGGTACAAGAAGGGGAGGAGGTACAGCACAATCAGATTTGCAAGATTCTGGTCCTATAGCCACTCTCAATAAAAATAGTCTTAGTCTTCCTGTAGAGTTGATTCTCGGTCTGTTCTATCTGGTGGGGCTGACACCCACTTTCTGAGCACTGGTGCGATTGTTCTCTCATGAGTATTTCCATCTGCTCCCTGATGTGGATTTGTTGATGCTGGATGGGGCAAAAGCTCACGCCAAAACTCTTTCCACCAGCTGTACATTCATATGGCCTTTCTCGGTGTGGGTTTGCTGGTGCCTAAAGAGGCAAGAGCGTAGATGAAAACATTTCCCACAAGTCCCACATCTATAGGGCTTCTCTCCTGTGTGAATTCTTTCATGTACAAGAAGGCTCCCCTTCTGGCTGAAAGTTTTGCCACAGTCTGAGCATCTATAGGGTTTCTCTCCCACGTGGGTCCTGTGATGCCGGAGGAGGTCATGTTGGATAATGAAGGATTTCCCACAGAGGGAACATTCATACGGCTTCTCTCCCGAGTGGAACTGAATATGGGTTATGAAGTTTCCGATCCAGCGAAAGCTTTTCCCGCACTCTGAGCACTGGTACGGCTTTTCTCGTGTGTGCAGTCGCTGATGTTCAAGGAGTTTAGAGTTCACGCTGAAGGATCTCCCGCAGTCCAAACACTTACAGGGCTTCTCTTGCGTGTGAGTCTTCTCATGAGCAACAAGGTTTCCTTTTAAAGAGAAACTTTTCCCACACATCAGACATCTGTATGGTTTCTCACCTGTGTGGCTTCTGATGTGGGTTACCAAGTTGCATTTCTTGCTGAAACTTCTGCCACACTCAGAGCATTTATACTGAGTCTCTCCTGTGTGGGTTTTATAATGTCTTATAAAGTCAGCGTTCATACTGAAGGCTCTCCCACACACCAAACATTTATACGGTTTCTCTCCTGTGTGGTTCCGCTGATGCCTAACAAGATCCGCATTTTTACAGAAGGACTTCCCACACTCTAAGCACTTATACGGCTTCTCATCCGTGTGGATTCTCCCATGGATAACAAGGTTTCCTTTCTGGGAGAAGCTTTTGCCACAGACTCCGCACGTAAATGGTTTTTCCCCCGTGTGCCTTCTCTGATGCGCCACCAAGTGGCTTTTTGTACCGCAGCTCTTCCCACAGTTTGGACATTCGTAGGTCTTGTCTCCCATGTGAGTTCTGGAATGCCGAACAAAATCAGCCTTCATGCGGAAGGATTTCCCGCAATCGAAACATTCATACGGCTTCTCCCCCGTGTGGCTTCGGTAGTGTCGGATGAGGTCAGCATTCTTGCAGAAGGACTTCCCGCACTCCATGCATTTGTATGGTTTCTCTTCCACATGGATCCTTTCGGGAACTGCAAGGTGGCCTTTCTGAGAGAAGCTTTTTTCGCACACCGAGCATTGGAATGGCCTCTCCCCTGAGTGGATTCTCTGATGACTGAGAAGGTGAGCAGGCATACCGAAACACCTGCCACAGTCTGAACATGCATGCGCTTTTCCTTCCGTGCGGGTTTCCTGATAGGTAGTCCTGCAGGAGTCATCCTCCCATTCAACTAATGATACTTGTTCTTCTTCCTTCTCGGTCTCCTTGGCATCTCTTTCTTCTAAGTTTCTGATGCTTTCTCCATACAAAAGGAGCTCCTCTGCTTGTATTCCAGGGAGCTTCTCTTCTTTCCTCTCAATGGTGTCTGCCTTCACAGGAAGCTGGCGATCTCTCCCTTCAACCGATGTCCCAACTTCCTCCCTTTGCGCAGAGATCTTCTCCTCACTATTGCCTTTCTCTCTTCTGCTTACAGAACCTTTCCCTGAAGGAGAAAAGAAGCGTTTCTAAGTGCACAGTGCCCTAATTTTGGGACCCATAACTTCAGAAAAGAGGTCACAACTAAGGATCATATTGCACAAGGCCAAGTGATACATTCAGCGTGTGCAACAAGGGGGCTTGGGCGATTAGTTTCCCAAGGCCTCTGGCATGAAACTCAGAGGTGGGCTGGGCCATTTGCTAAAGGCAGATCCCCTGCTGCCCAGGCTCCTTGTCCATCTGTTTTGTAAAAAAGATTATCTGAATTTGAAAGAAATAGCATAAAACAGGAAGCTAGCATGTGCAAAGTAAAACAACAACTTCAAGCATCGTCTTTACTTGCAGCAATGTCCTAGGATGCACAAGCGCCCTCTGTTAGGTACAGAGCACTCTACATCACCTGGTTTTTTTTTTAAAATGGGTGTTTTGTGTCTGGCCATGCCCACTACGGCAGCCATTTGGTCAACAGTCAGGTTTCATCAGTGTCCACTATATGCTCTTAACATTCCAGATGTGCCCCAAATCCAAAAGGCTGCAGACTTCTGATCATAGAATTATAGATTGCAGGGAGAAACATCAACAACCTCAGATATGCAGACGATACCACCCTAATGGCAGAAAGCAAAGAACTAAAGAGCCTCTTGATGAGGGTGAAAGAGGAGA